ATTCTTCTTGTGCAAATCACCAGTTACTGAACTCATGGCAGTATAATGACTGGTCTGACTTCCAGCTTGGCACCACCCCCTTGACGATTACAGTGCCTTCCTATCTACCTAATGTAGAGCTAGCAGATACGAGCACAGACAAAATTATATAGTGGCATCCAGACTCGTCCCCACCTCCCACATATACACATATGCCCCACTGGGGAACTTGGTCTGGGACTGGGACGTTTTCTCAAGCTTAGAGACACTTGACATGAATGTCTTAGGGAGACATTAGTGGTAATCAGACTTGCCGCAGATTGAATTGTTGCTGTGTGTTAGTACACACTAAACAGATGGATTTATCTAATCCTCAAAAAAAAAAGAAAAGCTATATAATTTTACAGAGAAGCACGTTATTTATCCAAAAGCATATAGTTAAAACATGGACTTTAACAAAATCTCATTATTTGCCTTCTATTGAGTAAATGTCATCAGAGATTTGACTCAGATGAAAATTTATGAAATGAGAGTTCAATTTTTTAAAGTTCTATCAGAAATATCAACTATTTGTGGAATCACTGTGTACTATATTTCCTGGGACTCAACTCTCCAGCTCAAACAAGTGAATTTAGACAACAGTAACCTGTCTAAGCCTGTTAACCTCATTTCTAAACCCAGCTAGAAATAAATAACTTCTAATATTTCTGACTTTCAACTTGATGATTATTTAAGTGCTTTTACATTCAGAAGGCAGGTAAGGATCATCTAATCTTGTTCTAGCACATGACTCTCAGATGAGGAAACAGGCTCAGAATCCTTGTAGTATCTCACTCAAAGCTAGCCTAGAATCTGGACTCTTAGATTCCTTTTTACATTCCACCACATAATTATCTTCCCAGACTATAAAATCTTCTGAATTACACTTTGCATTCTGGTATGCATACTTCATAAGCAGTACCCATTATAATATCTTTTGAAACCCTTGCATTAAATTCACACCTTCAAAGGATCCTTAATTCACAGCCAGAAGTTCCCACACAGCAGATGATGCTTGTACCTCCTATTCCAGGTTTAAGTACAGAGTGTTTGGATAGTAGTCCTGTTCGGTCCTAAGAGGAGATCGTGAAAGTAAAAATATAAGGGAGGCTGTAGGCGTTCATGGCAACACTTTTGGTTGCCTATCCAATATTCATTCCCAATCCTGCCTCCTTTGTTCAACAAATTGTTTTCTAGCTTCCCTTAAAGCTAATGGTGGTCACTTGACTCCCTTCTAGCCAATAAGTCTACTAAGGAGGTCTCTTGGGAGAACTGTCTTTTGATAAAGTAAGGAGACAGGAGAACACATTTCTCCCACCCTCCTGATTGTCCTTGCTCCAGATCTTGAAAGATGAAATGTTTGTAGTTATGGCAGCCATATTGTAATCATGGAGAGGGTGGGGGGAAGGTCACAGAGACATAACCCCAGCTCTCTGACATTGTCAGCTCTTCATCTCCTTTTGAATTTTCTTTCTACTGGAATTACAGACAAGTGCCACCATTCCCCATTCCTCATGAATATTTTAAATAAATAACAAAGTGTTAGTATGGTTTAAGTCACTGTGAATTGAAGTTTTGTTCTTCCAGTAACTGAAAGCAATCGTTATTGATAAAGCACTGTATAGTTAATCTATATGCTCAATAATAGGAAATGCACATTAGTAAACATAGTATCTTAGTGGTTGGCAATGGTGGGGAGATCCTCAATAACTGAACTGAGGAATTAGTGAATAAATCAATGTCATTGTGATTATTGCCCTATCACCCTTGTTCTAGTTCAACCCACTAAGTGAATATTTCCTTTTTTTTTCTTTTCTTTTTTTTTTTTTTCTTTTTTCTTTTTTGGTATTTTTGAGACAGGATCTCCTTGTAGCCCCAGCTGGCCTGAAACTCATTTTCAGACCAGACCAGACTGGCCTTGATCTCACAGAGATCTGTCTGCCTCTGCTTCCCAAGTGCTGGGACTAAATGCATGGGCTACCATGTCCAGTGGGTATTTTCTTTTAAACAAATGAGGCATGCTATGTGAAGTCAGAAGAGTACTGGTAAAGCACAGGGAGCAGAAACATAGTCCACATGTGTGGCCAGCACTGTTACTACAGCCTAGCTGGCACAGTGCCATTTCCTACTCCCTTCTCCACCCTTCTCTCCTGTGAAGCAATGAAAGAGAAAATCTCCATTTCCAGCCTGCACTGAAGCCTGACAGGTCATGCCACAGATTGACCAGTGATGGTGTGGAACATCACACTTGTTTTATCTTTTCTAATACAGAGAATAGAAGTGATGACATCTTATCACACAGCACCCACATTTTAGCCAGAGGTGATGAAATACACCACACTGAGAATGAGGGTGCAGAATGTAGAGAGGAGTTAGAATTTTTGAAGCCTTCATTGGATTCTTGACTTATGTTGGACTTCCTCAAGGAGACCAATAACACTTTGCTGGCTAGGTCACTGTTAGTAACTGTTCTTTCAGCCAAACCGGCAACACCAGAGCAAAGTGGATTAGACACCGAGCACTGAGACTTAGACCACAGCAAAGGACAGAGCAGTACAGAGTACAGATGAGTTCTCAGGCCAGTGGTGAAGGTATGTTGTTCGCTGTCTGCAGCATGTATTGGAAAGACAGACTTCTCCTTAAAATGTGGCAATAGAAACAGGAACAGCTATGAAAACCGTTTATAACAGTTAAGCCTTTGAACTATTCAGAGACAGGCATTCTCAGCACTGTAAAGTTATCTGATACAAAAAGTTTTCCCTAAAGTACAGACAGTGAGAGATGTGCATGAAGACAGGAGATTCCAAAGAGACTCATAGAGCAGTGCTAACTGGACCAGGGAAGTGAAATGTCCCTAACTGCTCCCAGATGAGGACACGCACCATGTATTCCTGAACAGATGCTGTGGGATTTCCCTAGCTGCTCCACGCCTGAAAACCTGCAGCCATGGCTTTAAGTACCAAAGGAGTGAACAAGATTCAAAATAGGTAGTTTGAGCTCATGTAAGTCCTTCCTTT